AAACTTTAATGAATGATGTTCAAAGAGAACAAAGCAACTTACACATGGGACGCAGCTCGTCCGCTTTGCGGCCATCTTGTCGCTGACCCTCGCTGCTGATCTACAACAAAGGCTCTTCAAATTAACACCTTCTAGACACTAAATCATACAAAAAACACGATTGAGGTTACCAGAGGTTTTCGAAGGCGTTTTCCTTCTCTCAAAACAACTGGCTGCGTTATTTCAGGGCCTGCAATTCTCTTGTTATCAACGGGCATCGTGAATGGAGCACGATTGACAGGGTTTTGCCAGGCGTTGCAAATCGGACGAAGGAAACTGGAACTATTCCGGTTTTGCTGTTTATTGGGGTGGAGATGAGGACATTTTTGTCGCTGGCAGAGGAACTGTGGGAGCACAAGAACCCAAAGATAGTTGGAATTTGACTTTTATGAGAGAATAATTTAGAACAAAAGAAATAGCACTTCGAAATGTCTTTAAAAGCGAACTGACTGTAAAACACACACAAACAATGTCGAAACTATGAGTCATTTTTATTTCGAATCTTTTAAAAAAGCGGAATTTAGAACGTACTTTCTCTGTTCTCACAAATTCTCTGAAAAAATGAGAATTTCAAAGAACTCACTAAGAGGCTTGGTTGCCAGTGTTTATTGAAGCTCTTGTGCCAGACCGTGACAGGCGCAAAAAGGGGAGGGGAGGGAGAAACGTCCTCTCCGAGTCTCTCTCTCTCTCTCTCCCCAATCCCCCTCCCTTCTTCCCTTCTTCCCTACTGGTCCCATATCCCCTACCCCTTTAGCACACTAGTGATTGGCTGTTGTTGCTGTTGTTTCTTTTCTTTTCTTTTTCTTTTTTAAAGTGATCGTACTCCTCAGCAGCTTCTCTAAGCTACAGTGGTTCTGTTGAAGGGAAATGAGATAGACTGTGTGGCCTGCCTCCCTCGTGCGCCCTTTTCTCTCTTTGCACCCATTTACTAAGTTATAAATAAGCGCCTCCCGATTGGTACTCATTGATGCAAAAAATAAGCGGCACTCCCTTTTTCTAATTGTAAAGTTTTCGAAACAGTCAAACACAGTCTATGCAAATGCAAACAAGAGGTGGTCGTCCTTAAACTGTCTAAATTCTGGATTAATCGATGGGCCAGGTCACT